CTCCCCAACCTGAGGTCTGAAGGCGATCCCCTCGAGTCCGGCTTCTATCACAGCAGGGAAGTCCCGGTCCCTGCACAAGAAAACGGAGGTGAAGAATTGGTTAAAGAGGTCCGCTTTCTCCTCTGATGCAACCACCAGATTGCCCAGCGTATCCTGCAGGAGTCCCACATTACCTGGCACCTTCTTCATCCTCCCAATATATTTGAAAAAGGACTTTTTGTTATCCTTAATCTTGCACTGAGCAAATAAAGTGCTACTTCTGGAAGTTACAGATTCACAGAAGTTCAGGGCTAGAAGGGACCTCAGGAGATCATCAGGTGCAGCCCCTTTACTCTAACCAGGAAAGACTGCTGGGGTCAAATAACCCCAGCAAGGTGTGTGCCCAGTCCCCTTTTGAAGATGACCAGGGTAGGTGCCTGAACCATCCCTGCTGGGAGTCTGGTCACACAAGTCTGGAGTCCGGTCACATGATCCATGAAGAAGTTTTTTCCTTATATCCAGCTTGAAACCTTCTTCTAGGAGTTTATGACTGTTGCTTCTGGTTTTCTCCTGGGGTGCTTTGGTGAATTGTTGTTCGCCTAGCCCCTGATGCTCTCCCTTGATATATTTGTAAGTTGCCACCAAATCCCCCTGAAGTCCTCTTTTTTCTAGGCTGAACCGTCCTATATCTGTCGGCCTTTCTTCATATGGTTTGTCCTTCAGGCCTCTAATCATCCGAGTAGCTCTTCTCTGGACTCTCTCAAGCTTCTCCACATCCTTCTTGAAGTGTGGCACCCAGAACTGGACACAGTACTCTAGCTGCGGCCTCACCAATGCCAAGAAGAGTGGAAGAATAACTTCCTTAGTTTTGCTTGAGATGTATCAGTTGATGTATGCCGGTGTATTGTTTGCTATACTAGCTGTACCATCACACTGGTGGCTCATATTCATTTTATGGTCAATTATGACCCCCAGGTCCCTTTTGGACATGGTGCTAGCTAGTGTAGCACCAATAAGCCTGTAAGTTTGTTGAGGATTTTTCCTCCCCAGATGGATTACTTTACACTTCTTAGTGTTGAACAGCATCTGGTTCTGGTCTGCCCATCTAACTAATCTGTCTAGGTCTGCCTGGATCATTACCCTACTCTGATGCATGTCTTATGATCAAAATTCACTAATGTTTGTCAAGCACTCAAAAGCCAGTGATGAGTGCCATGAAAAAGCCTTTGGGGAAAAAAATAATTCTATATACAGAGAAGGGTTAGATGTATGTGCAATAAATATTGCCACACACCGAATTATGAGAATAAAAGGATACTGAAAAACTCATCTTTCAGTGAGCACAATTCATTCTATGCACTGAATAAAGCAGGTATCCTGTAGAAAAATCCGTGTGTATCATACTGTATATGCACAAAGGGCTGAAATAAGGTTGAATTACATCTAGTATTGAGGTACTTGACTTCACAACTTTAATATTGTTCAGTGCAGTTTTTGTATGTAATGTACAATGACACAGCTATGATTTACAATTCTGAAAATTACAGGATCACAAAATTATTTATGTAGGTTTATATTGGTTTATTATATGGATTAATCAAAGATTTTTTGTGCTCCAAGTCTAACATTTTATGAGAAATGCCAACTAAAAAAAGCCAAGTAGATCTTCAAATTTTTCTTGTTATTAACAGATAAATGCTTTTAAACACTAAAAGTCATTTTATCATCTTAGCTAAGAAATTTAGTTCTGTATGTGATATTCTTTCTGTTTATGAACTGAATTTAAGGTTTGAGATTAAGCAGAGTACAAAGCAAGGTTAATTCAGGTTGAGTATCTTACTAAAAGTACCTTATTTGTCTAACCATGTCATTTTTCCTTTTATAACACATATGGTATGTGTAGTAGACTGCTCTGTAATTTCCGCCAAATGTTCCATTTTAAAACTATGAACTTATGAACTATATCTTTATATTTGTTTGAGAAATTGGACATATATTATTACTAAATAATTTAAAAGGAAACATTTGTAAACAACAGATTATTCTGTTGTTTCAAAACACTTGTAATATTAACATGTGAACACAAGATGGAACTCCTGTAATACAACAGAAATTTCTTATTTGGTAGTATCTTTGCCTTCTTTGGTGGAGGAGAACTCTTTAGAGACTTCTCATGGAAAATATTTTACAAGAACATTAAAGATTCAGTCCAGTACTTGTAAGAATTAAGAAATACTGGAGTTATGGTTGCATGTTTGCAAGAGTATAATTTTTCTTGCAGTCCCATCTCTCACTATTTCCCTTGAACTTTTGGCACTAATAAGGCAAGGGGCCAACAGACAACAGCCTCCTTTGTTGTACAACAGATTCATCCCCAGAGTACACTCTATCCCAGTGACTCTCAATCAGGATGTCTTGGCATGGGGTGTATTAAAATCCCTTTAAGGGTACTGTGAGGTATCACACAATGTTAACACTATTCATTTTACAAACACGATTCACAATATAAACCCAGAGATTTCAAATTGAAATCTATAATTGTGGTCTATCTGAGTTCTTTGCAACAGAAAAAGTGGTCTATTATTTTTGTGTAGTAAAAAGAAAAAAAAGAGAGAGAAAACAAAGAGCTGGCATTTTCTAAGGGGTGCCACGAGTATAAAAAGCTTGAGACCCATTTCACTATCCTGTGTACTGAAAGAGGAAGTGTTTCCGTGGGGAAAAAAGAACACTACACACTTAGGGTGCAGGGCTGGAACCAGCATGTGTGCTGCATGCGGTACCCAGCACTGGTCTGAGGTGCATGCTGCACATGGTGCCCATGCCAGACAGACCTTGCATGCTGGATCCAGCACACAGTACTGGTCTATGGGCCCAGTCAGGTTTGCAGACTGGCCCTGTGCTCCTGTTCGGCCCACAGAACCAATTGCGTTTGACACCCTACCCTTACGTAATTTTTCTGTGCCTCTATCTGATTTTAACTCTGTTTTTCATCATCCATTTCTCCCAAACTTTCTGGTGTCATGCTTCCTTTTTCTCTCATATTTTCTGCTTTGCATCTTCTAGCGTTCTACCCCTGTATTTGTAACCATTTCTTGCTTCATGTTCACTCTCCCTTTTCCTTTTTGAAAGTCCATTTTGTACAAAAACTCTTCTCTTGTTCTCATGAATAAAATATCATCCTTTGTCCTGTATTTTGTTTTTTGAGAGACTCATGTTAGGTGATAGTTCACCCAAAGGGGCCGGTATACCTTTCAGGAATGCCATAGGCCACTGAAGGAGGAAAAATAGAGAAAAAGGAAAAGAAAATTTCTGGGAAAAATGCAAAGGATCTGGAAAACAAGATCCATGAAAAGCACAAAAAAAGAAAGACATAAAAAAGAAGAAAGTCTAGAAGTATACCAGTGAAGCCACTCCACACTCACAGATAGGCTGGCAACTGAGGATTCAAGAGTGGGTGTTGAGGAACAAGCCCAGAGTAGCCTCACTGATATTCTTCCAGGATTAGAACCTTGCTGCTCTGTTATAGATGAACCCTAAAAGAGAAAGAAAGAATGAAGAAAGAAGGGAACAGAGTTTAAAAACTACAACCAGAATAGGAAGAAAACAAAGAAAAATAAATAAAAGATGAGTTTGCTCCTATAGGGAATATAGAATCATTCCTATAATCTAAATATATTCATATTAAGAAATGTTTCTGTTGAAAGGAAAATAAATCTTATTGTTTACAAGTGTTACATATTATATTTTTGGCCGAATCTTAGCTGTATTATATATCAGTGAAACTCATTCCAGAAAAAGACAGTGATATTTTGAATCACTCAAATTATTACCAATAATTAAATTATGAAAAATTAAAATTTAATTTAATTAATCTTTACATAATATCTTTATAAAAATGAAGAATAATTCATTCTGATAATTTCATTATTTTATGAGAGAGGATACCATTATTTTGGGTCCTACAGAAAAAGAACAATTTAAAAACTGTCACAAGTATGAATAAGATTTGATGCAATTTTTATAACAAGAAGCAAATACATTTAATATTTGGCTTTTTATTTTTTCTTTATCATGTAGGGCCTATTCAAACAAAATATTCACGTTGTGGTGGGCTGATGAACTTCTTAGGATTATAATAAGATATCTAACTAAAGAAGAAAAAATGTATAGAAAGTGTTTCATCTCTGATCCTTGTTGTGTTATTCTTGAATGACAGGAAATAATGGAATTATACTTATGAACTTGCCAAATATAAGAAAGGACTCTACTAATTTTTCAACAGTAAACAGAGAGACACTTACCCTCTTTTATTGAATCTTCCTTTGATTGGCTTAATGTTAATAGCCTGTTGGATTTTTCTAGTTGAAGAACCAGAAGGTTATTCTTTTCATTAATTTCTGACATTTTCTATAGAAAATTATTGACAAAGCTTCAGGTTAATGCTCAGTTAAAATCTTTTGCTCATTTTTTTCATCTACATCCTAGGATGTTAAGTTAAATATTAAGAGAAAACTATCCAGTTAAGATTTATAGAATAGTGCAGTATCTCCCATGTCTATTCTATTGACATAATGCATTAGCTGTATAGATTGGGTTTCCAGTTTCCACCATAGATAATGAAGAGTTTGGTCTCCAGGCTTCATAAGCATTACTTAAAATCACACTAGGTGTGTCTATATGTTCATGAATATGCTTTTGCTACTGCACATTAAATTTAGTACCTCTAATGTGAGGTACTAACTAAATGTGCATTAGGCTTCCCTAATGCACAGTAGTGAAAGTGCATACTTTTTTAGTGATGCATAATGTGCAGTAGCCTAATTTTACTGTGCATTAGCATACTAGCACAGTTTTTGCCATGACACTCTAATGCACAGTAAAAATAGGAGACTGCACATTAAAGTGCATGTGTAGACACACCCACTATTGAGCATCACCTTGTGGTTGTGTCTCTCCATTGATGCAGAACTTCTGGAGTCAAGTGATCAGTCAATCAAATCCAAACAAGTGCAATGTCCTTCAGAAATGTTGGAACATTGGACTCGTTTGGATTTTTTGGGCTTTTTTACATGTGCAAGTGCTGCAGCACTGGGTGCTTTGAAAAGTGCCTGGTGCTGCGGTGCTTGCACTTGTATAAGCGGTGAAATGTGCATCAGCACAAAGAAAATGGCAGCAGCGTGCTTTTGAATTAAAACACCTCAGAGGTGCTTTAGTTCAAAAGCGTGCTGCTGCCATTTTCTGCATGCTGATGCGCATTTCACCACCTATACAACTGCATGCAGCACAGCGAAGTGTACATCAGCTCACATGTGGAGAAGACTCGATTTAATTGAGTCTGCTCCAAAGCAGCAGATCTCCAATGTATTGCAGGATAAAAAGGTACGTGTATAAATGTCCTTTGTTGCAGAATGAATATTCTAAGTCAACATTATAAAGGGGTATGCTGACCCTCTGGTGTCTGAATTCCAAAAGTCTGTGGGCCAGTTCTAGCCCTTTCCATTAACTACTGCTGGAATTTGATACGGGGGAAGGTATG